CTGGGTGGCGGGGGAGGGGATGGCAGGAAATGGGGGGTAGGGGGGAGAGACTTTTGCTCAAATATCAGATCATCCTCCGCATCCTCCTGTGACGTACTTAGCTGACATCCCTTTTGGGTGTACAGTAGGTGATGTCAGCGCATAGCCGGCAGTCATTAAATCACCCAGGCTGGTGGTAGGTCCCCACCACCACCCTGCCTGGCAACCCTAGATCTGCAGATACTACTGCTCAAACCATAACAATCTGCCAGGAGGCTCTAATAAAAACATGGATTTTTCACTGGTGGCCCCTTATTAAGGAACTCCCTCCCAAAGGACACCCACAATACTAGCTCTATTGAGATCTTTTGGCAGCAAGTCCAAATGTACCATTTCATCAGCTGTTCTGTGGACACTGAACTCAACAGATTTCTCTAGATTTTCAGTTTTCATTGTGTTAAATTTTAAGAAACAGCCTTCTGATTGAGTGATTTTAATAGGTTATTATTCCATAAGTTTTAATGTAAACAGCTTTGAGTGCCTTTGTGTTAGAAAAGCAGCTTAAATGTAAATCTAAATAAATGAACTTCCTATCGCAATGTAGGACAATGTTTGCTGGCTAATCAATTAGTTGAAATTGGGTCAAGCCAAATTAGCGAAGCTTAATTTGGAATCAAAGTTGTCAAAAACACACAAAAGTTGGTTAAAGGTTTGTCTGGAAACTCTGACCAGGCATCTCAGCCGGAATCTTGACAGGAAAACTGGAGTATTTTATTCTGTGAACAGTTGTTTGCCTGCCCTGAAATACTTATCCTGTGCAGACATGATGAACACTGTATAAGCCTCAAATAGTGAAGTATTTATATCATTGTTAAGAATTAAACCTGCTGGGAAGATAAGAGTGGCATTACAATTTTATTGTTGATTCTTGGTTGTTTAAAACCAAGGGGAGGTAGCTTGCATATTACCAGGGCTCTAGTCGGGGGGGAGCTCTCAGGTACGGAGCTCCGGAAGAGAACCTCTAGGGGGCGGGGCGGTCACGTGGTGAAGCCCCGCCCCCTTCTTTACCCCGCCCTCTGCTTCGATCCTCATTCCGTTTGGAAATGAGGATGAAGCAGGAGGGTAAGTAGCCGGGCCTTCTGACACACTTCCAGTGATGTCAGGGGGTGTGGCCTTCTGTCACTTCCGGTGATGTCAGGGGGCGTGGCATATGCAAATAAGTTATGCTAATGAGTTATGCTAATGAGCTCCGGCAGCTCTTTTTCTACAACAAGACCCCTGCATATTACACAAATACACTGAGCAGGAGAGATTAGAGAAAGCGCTTCTAAAAACAAATCAAGAGACGGCCAGATGTCTTCAGTGTGAGTCTTCAACATTTTGAGGACCCTTGTTTACAAGAAGGCAGAATTTCCCATCTAAGCTGTCCCTAGCAATTTCAGTGATGATATGGGAAAAAATGCAAAACATAGACAGGAAGTTTCATTAACTCAGGAGCTGATATAGCATAGTGACTAAGACAATGAGCTGGGATTTTGGCAGCAACCCCGGTTCAAATCTTGCCTCTGTCATGAACTCAGTAGGTGACTATAGGGAAGTCATTCCCTCCCAGTTCCCTGCCTGCTTGCAGTTCAGAGTTATCAGTTATATGCTTCTGCTTCAGAGCCAGTGTTCGGTAATAAGTAGAACAGGGGATCTCCAACAGGTAGCTTGCAAGCTGCTGGTAACTCCTCAGCTGCTGCAGAGTAGCTCCTATAGGAGACCCAGAAAAAGATCACAAGGCAGAATGCAAATGTAGTATGTTAACAGCAAATTCATAATATGTCTCAGTTAGCTTGGGGTATTTTTTTTTTTTAAACTCAGAAGTAGCTCTCATTAAAGAAACGTCTGGTGGCCCCTGTGTGTTGGACTAGGCTCTGTTGGAGACAGGTTCAAATCCCAATTGGCCATGAAACTCTTTGGATAACCTTGACTCAGTCACTCTTAAAACCCTGTGAGGTAGGTTATGCTATGAAGATAAAACAGAGGAGTGGGACAAATCATGTACGCTGCTCTGAACTCGTTGGAGGGTAAAAATGTACTAAATAAATATATTAGCGTGGTTTGTGGAAATCTGCTTCTTCTTCAGTGTCATGCAAAATACTAACCCGCCCCCCCCCAATTCTTCAGTGTGCAGAAGAGTTAATTCATCTGTTCTCTCCAGTTGATGGCATTTGTATTGTGTGTGTGCAGACTATGTATTTCCTAAACAGTTTTTTTAAAACAGGATAATAAGTGGGGGAAGGGGCTAACAACCACCAGCCAGGAATCTCTTCTACACCATTGGTCTATGGCCATTTCTTTAATAATATGTCTGATTTACAGTACCTCCCTTTGTGACTTGATGCAGATATTCCTTTTAGTCATCTGTCATTCAGAAACTTTACATTCTCTCATTTGCCTATCATTTTAAAAGCAAATTAACTCTGCAATTCTCACAGTGGAGTTCACCCCTTCCCCATTTTAAGGAATGGGTAAGGCAACCCATTCTTAGTGACTGCTTTGCTTCTCCTGTTCTCATATTCTGCAAGTCATGTGCTGTCATGACCCTAGGCCTGAGGAGTGGAGTGGCCCATAGGCCTCAAGACAGCCTTTCCCTTAGACATAGGGTGCAAACAGACACAGCAAAGTTGGGAGAAACTAGTACTGCCAGAATATTGTGCTAAGTTCTCCCCATACTCTGGCTAGGAACTCAGGAGTGGCGGTAAGACTATCAGGAATCCCCAAATTTGGTTGGCTATATTGCATACCATTAAGTTTAATCAGAACCCTACACCATCATTTACTCCCCTGAATTTCAAACGCGGTTTGATCTAGACCAGGGGTGGCCAAACTGTGACTCGGGAGCTGCATGCGGCTCTTTCACACATATTGCGTGGCTCCTGGCAGGGCGGCTGGGGAAGCTAAATATCATTAGCAAAAAATTTCATTGGACAAATAAATATCATTATCAATATCTGCTTTTACCACTTTTGTTATTATTCTTGGCAGTCTCATTTAATGTTAATAAAAAGCAAATCTGCATATTTCCTAGTTAAAATGTGTAATTGTTCATGTCTTGCGGCTCTCAAACATCTGACATTTATTCTATGTGGCTCCTACGTTAAGCAAGTTTGGCCATCCCTGATCTAGACCCTCTCTGTGTGTGTTGCTATCTGAGAAACATAGCCAAAGACTAACCTTTCCTTCTGTCTTAAATATATGCTTACATAAACCACACAATCTTAGATATCCAAATCTAAGAACATAAATAATGATGAATTGCTGTAATGATGTTGTAAACTATATGTGCAGATAGTTTTTCACAAAATGGGGGGGGGGGGGATGTTGCATCCCTTCACAAAGTATCACAGTATTAGTCAACACTCCTTTTCAAAGCAGGAAATGGTCCCTCCCCAAAATCAGCTATTGCCTGAATGAAAACAATAGAGACATGTAATACATAGAAAATGGAAGGGAAACACTTCACAGGGCAGTGATCACAGCAACTCCAATGGCGCCTGAAAAGGCAATGGTAGCACCCCTGCTATGATAAGATTAGCCAACACCTTCACCAGTCAGCAGTGACCTGTGGCTTTCCCAAAGTTGCCCTGCCAACTAAGAGAGAAATGGGTAACATAAACCTGTCATAAGCAGGCTGGGAATAAGAGCAACACCCATAAATGAAGAGAGAATTTCCACTGTTTTATTGCAAAAGAAAATTACTTCTGTGTTCTTTTTTATTATTTGTTAATTGGGCTTTGAATTCATAAATACAAACCGTTTCACACAATGGTATTTTTATGATTCAGATACAAAGCTCTTACTGAGGTTAAAACATCACCTAGACCTCCCTTTCATAAAGCATTACTTCTGTTGCGTGCAAGTTGCTTTTCCCCACATAAAGGCAGTAACAGTGAGTTGTTCAGAAAGTGCATTTCACCCTCCAACCTATATCCAATTACTAGCCTGTTCTAGTAATGATGTAGTTTCAAATGCGACTACGGTCAAGCCCTATCTCTGGATTCAACCTGGGAGGTTAAGCATGTGGACATGAATATATGGAGCGATCACTGGAAGGCAGACCTTTGGTCTATCAAGGTTAGTGGCTGTCAGCAACTCTCCGAAGATCTCAAGGTCTTTCCCATCACCCACTATCTGATTCTTTTAAGTGGAGATGCCACAAACTGAACCTGGGAACCTTCTGCATGCAAAGCAAGTTACTCAACCACAGAGCAATGGGCCCACTCGCAAACAGGGGACTAAAGTGTGGGCAATGCTGAGCCTTTTGTTACCCAAGCTGTTGTAGCCGACCATATAGAGATCTAAACAAACAGCCTTTTGAAGCTGATGTCTGTATCTTCCGGATGGCAGAGTAGTTCTGAGTTTACTTGGAATCACAATGCATGGGTGTAGAAGTGACTAGTTACAGCACTGGCCAGTTTCAGGTCATACAAACAAGACAGAACTTCTTTCTGGAAAAGAACAGAGTTGCCATATTTACACCACAGGATCTGTTTCTGAGCAGATTTCTTGGTCAATTATAAAGCATGATATATTCTCATACCAAGAAACCAAAATAAGGAACGTCATTTTCAGCATCCTTATGTTAAAAATACCATTGACGTCAATGTGAAGTAATTCCAGCTAAGCATTTCCCCTGTCCTACTTGTCTCATAGAACAGAGTCTGGGCAAGGGCTAGGGAAGCCACTACCTATGCTGAGGTGCCACCTGTGCCCCGGGCTATGGTATTCAGCTGCCTGGCCTCTCACACAGGAGAACTGAATTATGTCCTTAAGTGTTATTTTTTTTTTAATGGAATTGTTGACCAGACTATAAGAACTGAAGGCTGAATATTGATTTGTGCTAAGTTCAGATTCCATGGTTCATTTATACAAGAGATCTATAACCAAAAGTTAGGCTAATTGGACCAAGTCATTCTTTAAAATTCAACGCCCTTTCCTCACCCCCAACACAGCCACACAAATCTTTTCATGGACAAAACAAAATGAGAAGCAGAGGCAGGAGAGGTGCTTTCTATTTATGGCAGCAAAGTCTATAGCAACTGTAAAAATGTAAAGGAATCCCCTTGTTTCCCCTGGCTTTTGACAGTTGGTACAACAATTTTCCCATAAGCAAGATTTCATAAGCCTTAGAAACGCAGTCCTCCAGACAGAGCCAAGCCTGATCTTTCCCTGCTCCCACCAAGCAACCAGGCAACAGTAACATGCAAAGACTCTTGGCTCTCCAGTCTTACAGTGCCATCCTAGGCAGAGCTGCACCCTTCTAAGGCCACTGAAGTAAATGGACTTAGGAGAGTGCAAATCTGCTTAGGACTCCACTGTTAATTACCTCTGGCTTTGTTCATTAAACTCCTAGATGGATCAGTGTTCGGTGATCTGATGAGTTCAGGCACTGATTCTCAACATTTGAAGTCATCCAGTTAAGCAAAATACATGGGAGGCAGAGGGGGTTGGGGAGGAGATGGATATCAATGCTGAGGAGAGCCTGTAGGACAGGGTTGTCCTCATATACTCTGAACATCCAGCTGTTCAGAAAAGTTAGAAAAATGGCTGCCAAAGCCAGAAAGAAGAACTCTGCTTCCAACTCTCTATGGATCAGAAACTAGAAACTTCAGTGGTGTTGGATGTATTTCAGCTAGGAGAGGAAGAACAAAGTATTTTTCCAAAAAGGATGCACGAGATGGCAGCTGCTGATTATACACGTAGATAATATATTCTGAAACAACTATTCTTAGATTGACCGACTCTCTGCTGAAGAGAAGCGGTCACAAGGCGCTAATTTGGCAATCTGTCCAATTTATCCTTCCTTTCTTTACCAGAATATAGTCACTTACTTCAGGACAGTCACAGGCAGAAATCTTGTCGTTTCTATGCCTGAGACGCTACCTCTGCTCACACAAAGATAAGTTTCATTGACATCTGGCCTTTCTTCCTGGAAGTCAAGTTTAGGAGCAGAGTATGACAACTGCGAGTCTGACATGGGGTCGCGAAGAGTTGGACTCGACTGTGCGACTGAACAACAACAAATGAAGACTGCGAGCCATTTATGCTGGCATAATGTCTTTTGACATTCCATTAAAACCAAGATTACTCCAGACAAAGTCCCTGACCTAGTAACCAGCTACACATAACTGGTGTATTTACACGCACATGACAAAGCCCACACACCCAGTTCAGTGCGATGAGCACTGCACTGTGGATGGTGATCTATACCTGAGGTTCTTTCAGCTACATGTGTGGAAGTTTGCTTCCACATGGTGCTCTCCCTTGGTGAATCACAGCATAAGTGTTTTTGGAATGAAACTGGAAGCAACCACTACCTGGGTTCCTCACAGTGTTTCTTTTGGGCAGCCTGTGGTTTCTTGTTCACAGAATAAAGAACCATCATATGGCAAGAAACCTGTGCATAACTTGGCACCACAATAACAGGGCTTTTTCTTCAGTTTCTCTCCTTGTGGCTTCTCCTGTTCCCTTTGCAAAGCTGGGAAGGAATTACGATGTCTTCCAGAATAATCATACGAAAGTTCTTCTGCACAGATATCTCTATCAGCAAAAAGTGCCAGCTTTGGCACCATTGAGTCTATGCGGACAGGGACCATAATGAGGTTTGGCTCACAGGAGTGGTTCAGGAACCGACCAACATTACCTGTGTGTGTGGGATCAACAAACGTCTCCATGATCTGACCATCACACAAGTGCTCTCTTATTGCTATTATGTAATTTGAATCATTTGCTGACTGCAGCTGTACCCTTCGACATGCTTCTCTGAAATTGAGGATTTCCCCTGCATATTCACACACAAATCTGCCTTTCGGTATGAAATCCAGAGTGCGAAGACCCCAACCTTTCTTGGCCGTCTTAAAGACTTCCAGTCTGAATTGTAAGCCCCTTTGAACCACCCTGTTCTGGCATGACTCTCCACACTGGCACATAACATTGCACTCAAAAATAGGCTTTGAATACTCTAGTTCATTTCCTTCATAGTTGATGCATGAATTCTTATAGTTTTCTGCATAAGGAAGACATGAACACATGGAAGCCAGGCAGGAAGCAGATTGGCAGCTGCATCCCTGAAAGGAGATTTCAGAGGGGTCTGGTCCACATTCGGCAGCAGCCACGTGATCTGGACTGTACTGTAAAAGAAAAAACGAGGAAATCAGTAGTCTGCTCCATGCAGGGCTGGTGGCCAACTTTATGCTATTACAAAACTGCTCACAATGAAGATCTGTTGTTCTACCTGTTGAAGCATAAACCAATTAACTGCTTATATTTCGAAAAGCCTATGTGGTGTAGTGGTTAGAGGGTCAGACTAGGATCTGGGAGATCAAGGTTCAGATCTTCACTCTGCCATGGAACCTTGCTGGGTGTCCTTGAGTCAGTTACACGCTCTCAGACTAACCTACCTTACAGAGTTGTTGTGAGGATAACCAAAGGAAGAATACTGTAAATCCCATGGGTTCCCCATTGGGGAGAAAAGGTGGGTTTAAATGAAGTGAATAAACAAACAAACAAATGTGGAATCCGATTCAGGATATTATGAAACAGGTTGAACAACCAACCACCTAACAGACATTTTTTGAAAACCATATTCTGAACTTATATGGATTTCTGGTGCTTCTTTTCAGTACTTTCCTTCAGCCTGAGCCCTTGCCTATTAGAAACAGGTATTATGGGATTATTTAACACTGTTAAATTAAGCACATTCTTATTTATGTATTCAATATACTTTGTTTTCAACATTCCTGGTGCTTTACTTTCTGACGTTTTGATCTTGTGGGATGTCTTCCTTCCTGGTTTTATTTGATTTGCTTACTGTCCTAGGGGGAAGGTCAAACCCAGGATGCAAATTTTGCTCATCTTTCTGTACGTTAGGGAGAGGAAGTGTGGTGTAAGTATATGCAGTTGATTTCCTAGATTTGCTTTTATTTTATTTATTTATTTTCATTACATTTATACCCCGCCCTTCCCGCGAATGGGAAAACAAGTTTTCTTTTACTTGTTCCCTCCATGATTTCTTTAGAAACCAATTTTTATAATGCAGGTGCTAGTCAACATGGAGTGGCTGAGGACGCAGTAATTTAATTCCTTTAAAGCCACTCATTAGCCAACACGATAAAATTATCTTGCCCACGCTCACAAATCTCATGCTTCTAATTTTATCTGAAGTGACCAGCCATGATTCAGCGTATTTTTGGATGAGAAATGCATCCTTTAAGAGTGGAAGAAAAATGTGAAAGTTCTTTTTTTTTTTTTGTTTACCTATTGAAATGAAGACAGAAACATATGGTGGAAGTTTTCCTGTTTACTCCAAATGCACAAATGGTTCTTTAAAACCTACATACTGTTTGAACAGAGCTCTGCTAATTAATCAATTACAATATCACTAGGCAATCTAAAGTTATCACAGCTGCAGTAGACATTAAAGAAAATCAAATAACCTCAAGCTTCTAGGCTCCTTTTTTCAAAACCTTTCAGCAAAACCATTTGTGATGGATGTGAGAAGTAGAAAAGTACAGTGTTAGGCCTTGTGGTGTAACTTTCATATACTTTGCTGCTCTAGTAATATTTCATCCATTCTGAGAAAATTCTGACATCCCTATACCAGGTAAGTTTATTTGGAAGTATGCCCATAAGTCAGTGGGACTTATTCTTTAATAAGCGTTAAATGTTAACTAACATCAATAGTTGGGAATGATCAAACTGGTCCAGTGTCAAACCAAATTTTAATCAGTTACATTTGCACTATCTAGATTTATGCATTTAGTTCCATGTTTAAGAAAGCATTTACAACAAGAGAAACTGAAGGGTTGTATTTAGGAGGACAGCCACAGGTCCATCGTAATAAAATAGTACCAAATAACAGGAAAGGCAGTTTCTTTGGGCAGAATATCTGAACACCAAGTAGATGAAAGATTTTGGAAATGAGTTGAAGATTGTTTAAAATATGTCTCTTTTTAGCTCCTTACCCTTCTATATTGCAAACTGATTCAGATTTAGGTGGTGTCACACAATTCATTCATTCATTGCCACGCCAAGGAAAGTTTCTTTTATTTTAAGAGAGATTTCTAGTCTGTATTAAGGTTTGCATTTATGCCCTTTAAGAGCCATCCACAATGTTAAACTAATATGAAATTCTCTCTAAAAGCACCAAAAATGCATGTACTTCAAAAGGTAACAGTGTTTTCCAAAGAATATTATCAATAATTGGTCAAGCATCAAGACACTTTGTCAGAGGCAAGAGTGACCTCTAATGGAATGTACCTAATAGTACATTTTAGTCTACAGCACTAATTATTGCTCGCTCTCTCCTCCCCACATGCTTTCTTATTATCTGGCAGCAGTTACTTTACTATCTGCACAAGAGAGAAATTCAACATGCAGTGATAAGCAAATCTTTATTAGATGAACTTCTGCCTGTTGTCTTCTTATTAAAGTTCAGGCAGTCTTGCCAGAAACATCTATTTTCAGGACACACTGAAAAAAAGCTATTCTTACAGTGCAATCCTAAACAGAGTCACACATTTCTAAGCACACGGACTTCAATGGATTGCACTGTCAACAACCTGTGATACTAAGTGCACTTAAGTGAATTCAACTAGTGGCATCAAAGAGGCCTGCTTCTCCCACCATGGACTTGGTTCCCAGTTGAGTATACAACTGTTCAATATACAAAGCTTTCAGAATGGCAAGGCTTTCTGAATGTGGGGAAGTCTTACACTTCTTGGATATTACAGACAACTTGAAGGGAAACTTCTTGGATAGGAAACGGAGAAAGAGGGAAATAAAAGCAATTCACAGAAGGCTAGGGCAAGAAATAACTTGTAAAGCCATGTACCTTCTTCAAGTAGAAGAAGAAGAAATTGGATTTATACCCCACCCTTCACTACCCAAAGGTGTTTCAGAGCGGCTTACAAACTCCTTTCCCTTCCCCTCCCCACAACAGACACCCTGTGAGGTACGTGGGGCTGAGAGAGCTCTGACAGAGAACTGCTCTTTTTCAAGAGCAGCTCTGACAGAACTACGGCTTGCCCAAGGTAATCCACCAGGTGCAAGTGGAGGAGTGGGGAATCAAACCCGATTCTCCCAGATTAAAGTCCACGCACTTAACCACTACACCAAACTGGCTCTCTATTGTCAGGAGTCACAGGAGCTTGGCTGATCAGAACTTATGCCATATACTGGCAAATTCAGAGTCCAAAGGTACCTTTGGACAGTGGACTCTATGGCATTATATTTGGCTGAGGCCTCTCCCCTTCCCGATCCCCCCTCCCCAAACCCTGTCCTCCTCAGACTCTACAGCAAAATATCCAGGAATTTCCCAATCTGGAGCTGGCAACCCTAGTTAGTAGCCATGTTGGTCTGAAGCAGCAGAACAAAATCTGAGTCCAGGGGCACCTTTAAAACCAACAAAGTTTTATTCAAGCTGTAAGCTTTTGTGTGCAAGTACACTTCATTGTGTCTAACGAAAGCTTATACTTTGCATAAAACTTTGTTAGTCTTAAAGGTGCCACTGGACTCAGACTTCGTTCTGGGAAAAGTGAAAAAAATGAGTACTCTGGAAAATGATGCAACGTAATTAACATGGATGTTTGTGACACTTATAAAGGCACAGCACCTGAAAAATCAAAGGAGTATATCGTACTGCGCCAAGTTTCTAACATTATGGGGAGAAAAAAAAACCAAGCTCACCAAACTAACATTTCAGAACTTATTGGGGTTTTGAACTTGGTTCTCCACCGCACGAGCATATATGTTCACATTCACACTAATCTCCGAGCCAGAATTATAGAATTAACTAAATGCTTCGACTTTATTTTCGCTTCTGGCGTAAAATGAACGCCCTCAAGAATTCTGGGAGTTGCAGTTTTAAGAGCGCTGAAAACCCTCAGTCAGAAATACTTTGCCCTCTCAAAGACTACAGTTCCCAGAGTTCATGACCAGGGCCGCTTGAGGAACCCAGACACCCGTTTTCCCCCCTGTAAATTCCCTTAGCCCAGTATTGCTTTCTGCCATAGTCTCTGGGTCAGCCTGACGCGGCCAAATCCCTATTGTCACCTGGAATCCTGGGGGCTCCTCAAGCCGCGGCCAAACAGTCACGGGCAAATTCTCTAGCCCTCGGCTCACATCCATCACGCCTCTCGGCCAGGCGAAGCGTTCCAGGCTCCTGTCCCGCCCCGACTGCTGGGATTGGCCCCTGGGACAAGGTATTATTCAAGGAGTGGCCAAGTGAAATTGAATGACAGGCGAAGACGCATGTGGGAAGCGTCTCTTGAATGCTTAAAGGAAAAGTAGCAAGTCCCCCCCCCGGCGTCCCCCCCCCCCACCGGCTCCCCCCCCCGGCACGGCAGGGGGAGTGCAGGAATGGCCTGGGAAGGCATAAGTATCGAGAAAAAGGCCGTACCCTTCTTCGGCCATTCTCTCGAAGGGCGACTGCCGCAGGGAAGCCCTGGACAAGACGAAGCTGTAGTAGCAGAAAAGAGCAAGAGTCCAATAGCACCTTAAAGACTAACAAAACCTATGGCGGGGTATGAGCTTTCGTGAGTCACTGGTGTTGGGAGAGGTAACGAGATTCTCTGGTCCCGCATGGACCACGAAAGAGGCAAGGAAATTTGTTTTCACGTCCTGCAGTCCACCTTTGTTCCAAATGCATATTCCTTACTCTCATCCTACCTTGGGGTTCCCCCTTTCCTCCCATTTACATATGAGCATGGCTTACAGCTGCCAACTGGCCTGGAGAAATATGTCCCAGTCCTTTTAAGAGAGGCTTAATGTGTGGAAATGAGTAACTGAAGCCTCTCATGGCCTGGATGCAGGTGACATCATCTGGTCAATAGCCTCCCAGTAAACTCCTGCCAACCTAGCAGTTCAAAAGCAAGAAATTGCAAGTAGATAAATAGGTACCACTTCAGTGGGAAAATAACAGCGTTCCGTGCACCTTGGTGTTTAGTCATGCCAGCCACATGACCACGGAAACGTCTTCGGACAGCGCTGGCTCTTCGGCTTTGAAAGAAACGGAGATGAGCGCTGCAACTCTAGAGTCAGACTCGACTGGCTTTCGAGCAAGGGGACATTTACCTTTACTTTACTAAACCTCTTCTAAAGAGATGGGACACTTTTCTTCAGTCTGGTTGGCAATTCTGGAGTGTGATACTGGACTGGGCCCCTGATTCATGTAGGAAAGGGGATGTACATCCATTATGCCTCATTTTGGAGGAGAGAGACCTTGAGGGAACATTGATTACTGGGATAGACAGATAGGTTGCTTTGAATCAGTTTTCCCCTCCAGTTTTACTGAATTTATACCCCGTCATTCTCCCCAGTGGGGAGTGGAGACCCTGTGCTGCTTATGTTATTTTCCTCTCCTCCCTTTTATATTCACAACAATCCTGTGAGGTAGATTAGGCTAAGAGTGTGTGACTGGCCCATGGTCACCAAGCGTGCTTTCATGGCAGAGTGGGGATTCGAACCTGGGTCTGCCAGACTTAGTCTAGTGCTCTAACCACTATACCACAGTGACTCACATATAAGGTAGCTTTATATGTTCATGACATCAGTCTGTGTAGCCAGCAAATCCATACCATAATTTTTCCAGTTTTTGATACTAACTGATGGCTGGTTGGCTGATGTGGCTGGTTGCCACTGATAGACACACCCTGTATGAACTCCTCTAATGTCCATAAATTAATCTAATATGTGAAGGAGTCTTCTGCTTTTTAAAGGAATGACCTTGCATGTCTTCGATAGAGAATGCATACTCATTATACAGGTTCAGATGGATAGCGTGTTGGTTTGAAATGGCAGAATGAAATTCGAGTCCAGTGGCACCTTTAAGACCAACAAAGTTGTATTCTGGGTATAAGCTTTCGTGTGGACACACACTTCTTCAGATACAATGAAATGAAATTTAAAAAGTCATTTTCTGTGGAAAGACCATAAAAAATGAAACCGAAGGTGATGGTAGAGAGGGGACGGGCTGGAGAATGACAGAAAGTGATTGCTTTACTTGATTTTGATGCTGCAGTTATTACAATTGCATATCA